AGCGGGGGGAGGCACGGGGGAGGGGGTGCGGGAGCCCGGGGAGGGTGGAGGGAGCACGGGCAAGGAGGGGGCGCAAGGGATGAGCGGGGGAGGGGGGGCGCACGGTCGAAATAAGGGGGGGGGGGGGCCGGGGGAGTGTGGAGGGGGTCGCCCGCGCGCGGTGAGGTGACAATCTATGGGGGGGCTTGCAGGAAGGGTCAGCGGGGTGGAGCGGTCGGGGGAGTGGATACTCGGGTTGGGTTCGTTCGGAGTTTTTGTGTGCGCAGTAGGCGGAGGTGCGGGGGAGAGCAATGGGGAAGGGCCGGCAAGCGGCGGGGGAGCGCGGGCGCCGCTGGTCGGTGGCTGCTCTCGGTTCGCTGGGTCGGGCTGTCTCCGCGGAGTCTAGAGGCGGGGGGGCGGGGTCGGTGGCTGGAATGTTCGGGGGAAGTGGACCGCGGGGGTCTGGCGGGGACGGGGTCCGAGGAGCGGGGGAGGGGGCGCGGGGGCCCGCGCAGGGTTGGGGGAGGACGGGGGCAAGGGGAGGGGGGCGCAGGGGACGAGCGGTGAGGGGGCGCACGGTCGGAATAACAGGAGGAGGGACGGGGACGGCGGGGGAGCATTCAGGGAGGGGGGCGCGGGGGCGCGGGGAGGGTGGGGGGAGTCCGAAGGCAAGGGCAGAGGGGCGCAGGGAAGGAGGGGAAGGGGGGGGCAGTGCCGGAATAAGGAGAGGGGGGCTCGGGGACGGCGGGGGGAGCACCGGGCGAGGGGGCGCGGCTGGGCCGGGGATGTGGGGGGAACAGGGCGCAAGGACGAGGGGACCGCAGGGGAAAAAAAGCGGCGGGGGGCGCACAGTCGGAATAAGGGAGGGGCCGGGGGAGGGCGGGGGAGCACGAAGATGGGGGCGCGGGAGCCGGGAGGGTGGGAGGATAGCAGGGGGCACAGGGGTGCGCAGGGGAGAGGAGCGGGGACGGGGGCGCAACTGTCCTCGGGGAGAAGCGCGCCCGGGGAGCACGGAGGAGGGCGCGGGGGCCCGGGGAGGGTGGGGGGAGCACCGGGGCAAGGGGAGAGGGGCGCAGGGGATGCAATGAGCGGGGGAGGGGGGGCGCACGGTCGGAATGAGGGGGGGGCCCAGGGAAAGCGGGGAGAGCACGGGGGGCAGGGCGGGGGGGCCCAGGGCGTGTGGGGGGGAGCACCGGGGCCACGGGAGAGGGGGGGCGCAGGCAAGGGGGGGAGCACGGGGGAAGGCGCACGGTCGCAATACGGGGAAGGGGCCCGGGGAAGGCGGGGGGAGGAGCACGGGGGAGGGGGGCGCGGGAGCGGGGGGGCGGGGAGGGGGGGGGGAGGACGAGGGCAAGAGGAGGGAGGCGCAGGGGAGGAGCTGGGGGGAGGGCGGGGGGGGGGGGGAAGGGCGCACGGTCGGAATTCAGGAGAGGGCAGGGCCCGGGGAGCGCGGGGGGAACACGAGGAGGAGGCGCGGGGGCCCGGGGAGCGTAGGAAGAGCACGGTGGCAAGGAGAGGGGAGCGCAGCGCAGACGCCAGCACCGACACCAGCACCCACGCTTGTGCCTATGCCTATGCCTTCACCGACGCCAACGCCTGCACCAGCACCGACGCCAGCACCAACGCCGACGCCTAACCCGACACCAATGCCAGCGCCTACACCTGCATTCGACCCGCGGTCGAATAAACCTGGTCCCGGCGTCTTGTCCCACCCCATGGGATAACGGATGCGCCACCCATCACTTCCATTCCCAGCTCAGACTCCCCATCTCCGACGTCCAGCTCCGACGCCAGCACCACCGCCAGCGCAGACGCCAGCACCGACTCCAGCACCCACGCTTGTGCCTATGCCTTCACCGACGCCAACGACTACCAGCACCGACGCCAGCACCAAAGCTGACGCCTAACCCGACACCAATGCGAGCGCCTACACCAGCACCGACGCCAGCACCGACGCTAGTGCCGACGTGGGCGCCTGCGCCAGCGCCGACGCCAACACCGACGCGTGCATTCACGCCTTCGCTTTTGCCAGCGTTAACGCCAGCGCCTACACCGTCGCGGACGCCAGCACCGACGCCAGCACCAACGCCTGCGCCTACGTTGGCACCAGTGCCGTCGCCTGCACCAGCACCGACGCCAGCACCGACGCTTGCGCCTACGCCTGACCCGACTCCAACGCCGACGTCAGCATCACCGCCTACGTCTACTTCGACGCCAACGCCAGCGCCGACGTCAACACTGACGCTAGCAGCACGACCACCGGTGCATGTGGCAACAACGAACGCTGACGCCAGCACTAACAACGGCTGTCCGACCCAGCCCCGAGGACCTACGACGCCTGCACCAACGCCAGCGCCTACACCAGCGCCGACGTCAGCACCGACTCCAGCTCCAACGCCGGCCATCTGACGACAACGCACCAGCGGATTCATTAATCAAGCATGGCCGCGAGGACAAGGTTGACCAAGACAAGGGCGACCGACTGATTCCACTGCCCCTCCCAATGCCCACTTCCCTCTGTCTTCCCACCCCCACCTCCACTGCCTCACTGGCGGCAGCACCAACGTCGGCACCTTCGCCAGCGCTGACGCCAGCACTGACGCTAGCATCAACGCCTGCGCCTACGCCAGCACCGACGCCAGCTCCTTCACCAGCGCCGACGTCAGCCCCTACGCCAGCACCACCGCATGCGCCTGACAACACCAGGGCGCCGGTGAGCTGACCAGCTGACCGGTACGCGCCAGCATCAGCACCAACGCTGGCGCTTTCGCCAGGGCCGACGCAAGCACCGACGCCAGCATCAAGGTCTGCGCCCTCGCAGGCATCAACGCCGGTACATACAACAGCGCCGACGTCAGCCCCTGCGCCAACACCAATGCCCCCGCCTACGCCGACACCGACGCCGACGCACCGGTGAGCCGACCACTTGACCGGTGCACACCGGCGCCCGCACCAACGCTGGCACCTCGCCAGCGATGACGCCGGCACCGTCGCCAGCTTCAACGCCTTCGCTTACGCCGGCACCAACGTCAGCGCCTCCGTCGGCGCAGCGATGAGCTGAGGGGACGATGGGGACGAGCAGATGTCCAGCTCGACGGAATTGAGCACTCCCACGGTGTCCATCACGACGGAGCTTAACACCTTCTTCGACGTGGCTGTCCTAGTCTTCATCTTCGTGGAATCTCTGATCAAGAGCTGACGTAGCGATCCCTGTGTCCTGTGATAGAGGCCAGGCAGGCGCTGAGCTCTCTGAGCAGCCGGAGCTCTCCGCTTCCCCTGGTCCTCTTCTCCCTCCCCTTTTTTTAATTGGCTGCCACCCCAAGGGTGCGTCCACTCTGCCGCGTCTCGCCCCTACGTGGTATGACTCGGGCTGGCCTTGCTGGGTTCACCCAGGCTGATATCTGATCGCACCGCTGGCGAATTCGGGTTCCTCCCTCCTCCCTTCTCCTTCCTCCTCCCCTCCTTCCTTCCTCCCCCTTTGTATTGCTCGTGCTCGCGAGGGTTACTGTGCGGGTGCCGTCTACCTGGGTCGGCCTCCGCACGCGCGAGTTTCTGTTAGGGCGTGTTCTCCCTCCTCCTCGTCCTCCTCCTCCTCGTCCGCGCTCCCTCCTCTTCCTCCTCCTGGGCATCTGTGTGCGAACATCAGAATGTGTTGCCATTCGTCGTTTAACCTTGTCGCGCCACCAGTCTTGGACACATGCCCGGGCAATAATTGTCACGGGAAGCGCTTGCCTGTTCCGGCCGCGTGGCCGATGCAGTCTCGCGGTGTCTGTTGCGATCTGACAATTCGGGGGGTATATAGCACCAGTAACGTTGAGGTAGAAGTGGGCGCAAGCTGCTTGAACAGCTTTAACGCCGGTTTGGGCGCAAACTGCTTTAACGGTTTTAACGCCGGCGGTATCGCAATTGCTTTGGCTGGAGCCATCGTACTTTGCCATAACCAAAACTGTGGCTTCCTGCCTGGACGTCATAATGCGAATCATCAGCTTGCTAAGTCGGATTGCCACGATGTTACGCTTGCGGCGAGGAGCCTGGTCTGGCGAACACATTCTCCTCATGCCACATCAAAGCGAACATCACAATACGTTTATACATTCACTTCTGCTTGGCTCAATTTGTGTGTGCTGTCCTCCCCGCAAGACTTGAGCAGCGCCTCGAGATCAGTCCTCGAGGGCCCCGAGCGTTTTTCCTTTCCTGGGGTTTCTTGACTCCCCGGCGTGGCTGCGCTTCGGGGGCCAGTGCCGCAGAGCCTTACGTTCTCTATTTTGTTCCAGGATTTACACTTCTGTGCCGTGCATTTGGTGCGCCTTGGGGGCCTTTTGGCAGCTCGTGGGGCCTCTTGAAATTTCTTGAGTGCCCCAGGGGGGCCTCCCGGGGGTTTCTTGGAAGCCTCTTGGGGGCATCTTGGGTGCCTCTTGTGGCCTGCTGGGCGCCTCAGGGCACTCTCGGGAGCCTTTTGGGGCCATCTTGGAGGTGATCGATCAAAGAAACAAGTGGTGCCAATCAGCGCCCCCCCCCCCCTGAGGCCCAAATAGGCCCAACACCCATGTAACATTTAGGGTTTTTGTTTTTGTCATCGAAGTCGTCTTGGGCGCTCCAACGCCTCGCGAGAGGCCCTGTCCAGGTCCAGGGGGAGGGTAGGGGGAGGAGTAAAACTTTCTCCGGAAAGAAAACGCGCGTGTTGGACGAGAAAACGCTTTAAATAAACTGCCCACAGCTGGTGGGACTCCAGAGGCAGATCTACGACATCCACAGTGGCCGTATACAATTGTCCTTTTCTTTTTTTCGCCATCACCTTCCCGCTCCAGGCTGCTCCGATATGTGTCGCGCCGCACCGGCCCCGGTCTTCCGACCTCTCGCGGAGCCGCTGCAGAACCACAGGAAGGGAGGGGCCAGGAAACTGAGGAGAACTGTGAACAGGTCGCAAGGACAAGGGGAAAATCATATCACCTTCCGTTGCCCCTTTCACTGTTCACGTCTTCCCTCCTCCTCTTTCCTTCGTCCGGTCCCCCCCCCGGCAGGAGACTTCTGACATCGCGCAGTGGGCAGCCGCTGCCTCATATTTGTGGAGCGGCAGCGATTGGGCAGCAAGGGAAGACAGCGACAGCAGCGACAGCGAGGAGGAGGAACATGAGGCGGCGTATCATGACGGGGTCTGAGCAGGGCGAGCGATGTAACGCGGAGGAGCAGGAGGAGGAACACGAGGACGAAAACGAGGAAGTAGAACATGGCGAACACGAGGGTGATCATGGCAGCATGAGGAGCAGCAGCAGGAGGAGGGGGAGGGGATCTCGGCGAGGGGACGGCGATGGGAATGGTGACGGTGGCAAGCGTGCAGATGACGGCGATGGTGATGGTGATGGTTGCTTACACGACAAACCGATATCGACTGCGATTGTGTTGTGGACGACGATAGTAACACAGACGACGAAAGCAAATGTTGTCAGCCCTTCCAACTACACCACTGGCGGCAAGGGCACAACAAACTTCTAGATGGAGGGCGATGGTGAGGAGCATGAGGAAGACGAGGAGGAGGATGAGGAGGATCAGGAGGAAGACGACGAGGAGGGCGAAAACGACGACGACGAGCAGGAAGAGAGGAAAGGGTGGGAGAAGGAGGAGGAGGATGAGGAAGAGGAAGAGGAGGAGGAGGAGCAGGATAATGTGACATAGAGAATTGAGGAGGGATGGTTGGGCACGGAGCAAGTAATTTGAAGATGGTGGAGGAAGGAGGAGTGAGGGATCACCGGCGAAGGAGCATTGAGGCATGGAGAGGAAGGGGCGAGGAGGGAGGACGGGGGAAATTGAGGAGGACGAGGAGGACGAGGAGGAAAAGGAGGAGTACGACAGAGGTCATCTCCCCAGGGTGGAACGCGGCTAGCGGCATGAGCGTCTGTCTGTTCATGCGTCGCAGTGGTTCTTGAAGGGCGAGATTCGGCACGCGAAGGTGCCACTGCAACTGAAGCTGCACAATGTGGTTGCGCATCTGGTTGGGGATGACTAGGCAGAACGAGGGAGGGGAGGGGAGGAGCAGGAGGAGAAGAACCAGCTTGCGTCACCCCTGCAGGCTGTTCCCTTTGGTTTCCCACCTATGCTCCTCCTCTGGCAGAATGGTCCGTCGCACCTTCGTCGTAATCATCTCCCGCCCGCCTCAAGCGGAGGACATGTCCAGATGAAGTCTGCCTCATAATCGTCATCCGCGTCCTGCCTCCCTTCGGCTCATTACCCCTGGATCCGTTTGGTAAGGTGGCGATACCCGATATGCCGCGCAGTGCTACGTCACAGTTCTCTCAACATAGCATGGCTCGCTCGTTCGGCCCGTGACACGTCGCTGAGGTATGGGATCCATGTTTTCTGGCGGCCGTGTGGCGATCTACGGCTGCGCTGATGATGATGATGCGATGTGGTCGCATCGGCACGCCGTGCCTCAGATAGCTGATACCTCTCGACGAAAAGCAGGCACGCTTCGGATTTACCGTTTCGTGTGTGACTGCTGTATGTTCACTCAGGGAGTGGTCCCCCCCCGAGAGGCCCTCGCCTTTTCCTCCTCCCTGCGGCCGCCCGCTCCGTCGCTCCTCCTCCTCCTCCTCCTCTTGCATGCTGGCCAATTCGCTACAAAGGTGCCCCCGTTTAGTTAGCTTCGTCCGCCTGCGCAGACGTCACCTGCCTAGCTGCCGACGCAAACAGTGACTGCTTTATGTTTTCTGATCTGAACGCCAGCATCAGGAGATGAGGGGGCCTCGGACACTGACCCATCCGATTGCATGTATGGGTAATCGCGCGTGGCGGCATCAATTGCTGTACCATCTCAGTGAGAATGCGGAGCGGACTGCTTGTGGTATGCTCTGGCTGGAAGTAGCTCATGTGCGTAACGAACCATGTTTCCTGAATGGGGACGTATCTGATACGTATTGACCAAGCTGGGCATTGTTGGACCTGGTCTTGGAGAGCACGACTACACAGACGTGCTCACATCTGCGGCGTCACCTTGTCCGTGGCCTGGGTTCCAACATCTCCGCGGTTGCTTTACGGGTTCAGGGACCCCCCCCAGGGTGCCACCTGAAGCCCCGAAGGTGGTTTCTGGACCTCGCAGGGCGGCCCCTGGAACTCCCACGGTGGGCCATGGAACTCCGACGGTCATCTGTGGAGCTCCAGAAGAAGGGGGCTGCGCAGGGCGGCGGCGGCGACGAAAGTGTTACCCACGGCGCGCGTGGTGGTCTCGTGCCCCGCGGCCGCCTCCCGTGTGCCCACACGGGCCCGTGCTGTGCCGTGCGTTGAGCAGTTCGAGGCGATTGGCCGCCTGCCGAGGTCAGGCATCCCCGCCCTCGGCCCCCTGTGCGGCGTACCGCGTAGCTCCCCAAGGTGCCCGACTGAGTCGGGCGCTTCTTCGGGGCGCTTGCGGCAGCGCTTGTCGCCCGACCCTGCTCGTCAAAAAACGGTCGTCGAGGTCCCCGTTGGATGCCGTGCCACGGCGCCGGTTCTCGGCGCAGGATTCGGCAGCCCAAAAGGACGGGCTTTCACACTCCTCGACGACGGCAGGCGGTGTGTAGGGCACCTCTGGCGCGCACGGCGGTCGCGAGCGGCAGGTCGGACGGTGCAGTAGAGACCACGTGCCGAGCGGGATCGCCACATTCTCCTGCCCTTCCCCATTCTCACCACCATCAACCTCCATCCTTTCGCAGTCCTCATCAGCCCCCACCTGATCTCCGACCCCTCGGTGACACTCCTCGCCTCTAGTTTCGCCACTTGCGCGTTTCGTCCGTCCAGCCTTTCGGCTGCGACCGACGGGGGGGGAAGTGAGAAGAGGCGGGCCTTCTCAGAAGGCTCGGAAGTCTCCTGGCCCTCTGCAAAGTTTTCTGAGCTTTCCCCGCAGACAGAAACCTTTTGGAAGGCCCCATAGCTTCTGAGAGTCCCCGCCGCCTTCTGAGGAGCCCTTCGCCTTCTCACTTCCCTTCCTCGCTCGCCGCCGAGCCTCCTCCTCCTCCTCCTCCTCCTCCTCCTCCTCCGCCTCTTCCTCCTCCTCCTTCTTAAGAACACCGCCAACAAAGCGATCTCGGCACTCCTAAACGGGTGCATCCAGCCTGGCCACGGGGGCGGGCATGCAGAGGGGCTTCATTACAGGACGCCGGATGCTCAGCAACGCGGTGGAGTTAGATGGCCTTTCGCGGGCTGCCAGCTGGCGGTTCAGGGACAAGGGTGACTTCGAGCCGATGCTCCTCGCCGTTGACTTTGCGCAGGCGTTCCCGTCTGTGCGCCAGTTGCGGCTGCACTGCACCCTCTCGGTCTTCAAGGTCCCCGCCGGATTTCGGAATGCCGTCGTCCAGCTCTACCTCTTGAACCCGTGCTCAATAGTGACGGGGGGAGTGAGTTGCCTCATATTCTGGATCACCTCCGGCATTGTAGGGATGCCCGCTTTCGGGCTCGCTTTACGTTGCCGCCTCCAACCTTTTTTATCGGGACATGGAGGAGACCATCCAGAGTCGGGGCCACGGGGCCCTTCGAGCCTGTGCGGACGACGTCGATGGAGTGATTATAACACCGAAGGGCTTGCGAGAGCTCGCCAGGACTTTCCGGGTAGCGCACCTGCTTGCTGCCATGCTTACAACATTCCCGAAATGCAAGGTTGCGGGGCTCGGGAGACCTCTGTCTGAGGCTCGGGAGGGCCGCGTTCGCCATCAGTTCGAGGCGGCCTGCTCCGACTGGGGCCAGTTTGGAATCGTAGGACACTTGAAGTACCTCGGCTTTTGGATCGGCCCAACTAGCACTGTTGACATGAACTGGGCGGCGCCCATGTCCCAGGCGCGCCTTCGTGTGGGGGGCAGATTGCTGGGCAAAGTGCGTCTGCCGCTATGTCTTTCCAGCTTTACGCCTCGATGGCCTTCCCTGTCGCCTCCGATGTGTCCCAGCTCATCCCCATGAGCTGGCAGCGCGCCTCTGAGGAACGACGCTGGTTCGCCCAGCTCTGGAGTACCTCCAGTTCGGTGGCGAGGCATGCGGATTGGTTTCATCTGGCTTCGGTTGGAGGCCCAGCGGTCCATTCTTTATTCTCTTGCACAGTTGTGCTGTAGAGCTCGGACCTCTTTATTTTCGTGGTTCGTGGTTCTTGGTTCGTCGTCGTCCTAGGCTTCCCCTGGCCCTGGCCCCAGCTTCCCCTCGACCTCCCCTTGGCTCTGGCCCCCCTGGCCCTGGCCTCAGCGCCCCCCCCTTCGCTCTGGCCCCCCTCGCGCCCCCCTGGCCCTGGCCTCAGCCCCCCTCGCCCCGTCGTCGTCCTCGCCTCCCTCCCCCTTCCCCCCTTGGCTCTGGCCCCCCTGGCCTTCACCCCAGTCCTCTCGCCTCGCCCCGTGCTTTGGCCCTCGCCCCCCTCGGCTCCAGTCCCCCTGGCCCTGGCCCCAGCTTCCCCGCGCCCTCCCTCTCGCCCCCCCTTCGCTCTGGCCTCCCTCGCTCCCCCCTTGGCTCTGGCCCCCTAAGCCGTGGCCTCAGTTCCCCTCGCCCTGGCCCCAGCTTCCCCACGCCCCCCCCCCCCCCTGGCTCAGGCCCCCCTGGCCCTGGCCTCAGCCCCCCTCGCGCAATGCTCTGGCCCCCTTGGCCCAGGCCTCAGCCCCCCTCGCCCCGGACCTTTTATTTTCGTGGTTCGTGGTTCGTGATTCGTCGTCGTCCTCGCCTCCCCCCCCTGCTCTGGCCTGGCCTTGGCCCCAGCTTCCCCTCGCCCCCCCCCCTTGGCTCTGGCCCCCCTGGCCCTGGCCCCAGCCCCCCTCGCCTCGCCCCCCCCCTGGCTCCGGCCACCCTGGCCCTGGCCCCAGCCCCCCTCTCTCCGGACCCTTTATTTTCGTGGTTCGTGGTTCGTCGTCGTCCCCGCCCTCCCTCCATTGGCTCTGGCTTCCCTGGCCCTGGCCCCAGCTTCTCCTGGCCCTTCTTGGCTCCAGTCCCCCTGGCCCTGGCCCCAGCTTCCCCTCGCCTCCCCTTCGCTCTAGCCCGCCTCGCTCCCCCTTGCTCTGCCTCCTTGGCCTTGCCTCAGCCCCCCTGCCCCAGCTTCCCCTCGCCCCCCCCCTC